TGAAAATTTGGTACAAAGTGAAAGTTTTTAAATTTTAAAATTTTTGAAATTTTGAAAATTATAAAATTAAATTAAAATTTTGAAATTCTGTGAAATTTAGAGAAAAAAAAAGTCTTCTTAAATTAACAAAACTTTAAAGATTTTTTAAATTTTCAGGATTTTAGAAAAGTACAAAATATTCAAAATTTCAAAGCTTTTTTGAAAATTATGTACATAATTTTCAGTTTTTTTTAAATTATGAAAATTATTTTGGAAATTTGGTACGTGACAAAGTTTTGTAACAAAATTTAAAAAATTTTAAAATTTTGAAAATTATAAAAATAAATTAAAATTTGGAAATTCTCAAATGAAGTTTTTTGAAAATTATAGAATAATTTTCAGTTTTCTGGAAAGGTTAAATTTTGAAAATTTTGAAAATTTTGAAAATTATAAAATTAAAATAAAATTTTGAAGTTCTGTGAAATTTAGAAAATTTTTGATATTCTTAAATTAACTAAACTTTTAAGATTTTTTAAATTTTCAGAATTTTAGAAAAGTACAAAATACTCAACTTTTTTTTTTTTAATTATGGAAATTATGTAAATTTTGATAATTTTAAAATTAAATAAAAATTTCGAAATTCTCAAATTAACAAAACTTTCAATTTTTTAAATTCTGACTAAATTTTGAAATTATTATTATTATTATGGAAATTATTTTCAAAATTTTGTAAATACGTGACAAAGTTTTGTACAAATTTTAAATTTTTTGAAATTTTGAAAATTATAAAATTAAATTAAAATTTTGAAAAATTTTATTCTTAACTTTCAAGATTTTTTAAATTTTCAGGGTTTCAGAAAAGTACAAAATTTTCAAAGCTTGAAGTTTTTTTTTGAAAATTATGAACTTAATTTTTATTTTTTTTTAATAGGTAATGGAAATTATTTTGAAAATTTGGTACGTGACAAAGTTTTGTAACACAATTTTAAAATTCTTGAAAATTTTAGATTTTCGAAATTTATGAAATTACAAAATATTTGTAAAACAATTTTAAAAATTTGAAAATTCTTAATTTTGAAAATTATAAAATTAAACTAAAATTTCGAAATTCTCAAATTAACAAAGTTTTAATTTTTAAAATTCTGATTAAATTTTAAAATCAGCTTAGAAAGAAACGTTTGATTAGAAAATTAAGAGCAAATATGACGCATCTTGCAGAAAAACCAAACTTTATATACCATAATTAATTTCTCAGTAATTAATTATCGTAGACATTTTTTTCATTATTGTGTTCGATTTTACATGGAATTACCAAATAATTAAGATACCGCAAGGTGGAGATTACGAAAAGCAAGTTTGATGCCATACAGAGCATCAACAGGACTTTTGTTAACTGCAAAACCATTGCCTTGAATTTGATAGTGATTATCCTCACTAGACTGGATCGTTTCGGGGCAAGTGAGTCTAGATTCTAGACTCACTTGCCCCGGAACAACCCAGTCTAGTGATGATGATCACGAGATGTGGAGTTCATCAAATTTACTCGCCTTACGATATCTTCTTGTCTAGTTACCTACCTGTATTATTCCCTTGGTTAAAAAAACGTTCTTCTCGCAATATCTCATCGAGAAAATTACTTACAAGACGCGTCCGCCAGTCCTTTAATTCGCTACTTAAAACTAACAAGTACCGTAAACTAATTCATTATCTATCACAGCTCTGACACGTGTAAAAAAATCAAGTGACAGCTTTTTATCGCGGATTATCTCGAGTGATCGAGTGCGTTACGCAGGACAGCCTGATCAATTCTGTAAGCTATTTGGAGGTGCTAGATACAATTCGCTAATAAGAATGACGATAAAAAAGTAATAGTAACAACGATGATGAGTGGACGATGTGGACGTCCCTTAACAACAGTAACTTAGTGGGTGTCCGATTCCTCGGTGTCCAGAGACGTCGGCGACAGGAATTTCCGTACGTATTTGGGGTAGTGAGTTTTTTCGTGCGCTTTCAGGATCGTGGAGCGCGAAAAGGTTTTCCCGCACAAACCGCAACGGAACGGTCTTTCCCCGGTGTGCACTCGGCAGTGGTCCTTCATGTGGTGCCGCAGTTTGAAGGCCTTTCCACAGAACTCGCACTTGAAAGGGCGGTCGCCTGTGTGCACCGGCAGGTGAGTTATTAGCGAACTGACGTCGGGGAAAGATTTGCCGCAGAACTTGCACAAAACCACGCCACCGCTACCGCCGATCCCCGCGTCACCCAGATCTAAGTCCATCGGAGTTGTGGGCGGCTGATCGGTGGGGTCAGGAGGGTCGTGCGGGGGAGCAGGTATCCTGCTGGAGAAGTCTATGAAGGGCACCTGCTCCTGCATGGCTACCTGCGACTGATGCGGCCTCTGCTCCCTGTACTTCAAGGTCTCCAGGCTGTGGGAGAGGATGTGGCGCGTCAGCTTGCTCTGGTGGGGGAAGGAGTTGCCGCAGTACATGCAGGGGAACAGTCGGGGCGAGCCCTCCCTCGCCTGGTCCTGCAACCAAACAAGTCAACATCAACTTCTTCGTTCGGGAGCCAAGGTGAGGTGCCAGAGAAGCCGCAAGAAGTTGACGCTCAATTGTTTGGCTGAGGATCGCCCCCCCGTCGGCGGCGCCCTAGTCCCGTCCGCCGTCTGCTCGCCTGCGTTGGTCGACACTCCTTCGTTTAAGTTAGGCTCTCTTCAAGCCAAAATGAATGTCAACTTCTTGAGGACGACTCTGTACTATCACGGATTAAGTACCAACTCGATAAACCAAACGGTACCGTAATAATAACTTACACAGAGAAAAATCCGTTTGAAAAACATTGCACAAAGTTGTGCAACATGTTTTTCTAATTAGTTTGTTCTATAATTTGTTTGTGGAAACAGTAAGAAAAGAGTTGAAATATGTTGTTCAATAATAAGTATTTAGTACAATTTTTAAATAATTCTTATAAATATTGGACAATTTGTTGGGAGTGAAGCATCACACCACCCAAGATAACCAATGAAATGATTTCCCGCTTGAAATTAGACGCCGCACAATCAATTCTATAAAATATCGGCAAAACCTCAAAAATTGACATTTTTTTTCACATAAATTTTGAGTTAGATGGGTAGTTAATACATGTCTTTATCCTGTATTGAATTTTTTTTATAAAATACGTATATTTTGTCTTGTACATAAGTTTAAACTTGACGCTTTCAGTTGAAGGTACTTTACACGCGATCCCTGCGGAAAATTGTTTATTGTTTAAAAGTGAATAACTTGTGTTTGGTGTGTTCGATTGTTATGCGGTTTGATGAAGGGTGATCTTCAAGGTATCTTAAATTCAGATATGTATTTGTTTTTCGTAGATTTTGCTTGTACAACGGGTTATTGTAACCGACAAGATCGGTCTGTTAAAATCGCAAACTTCGAATCGAGCTTTTAGAACAATGGAGCTACAAAAATTGTAATGAATTGTAAGGCATCAGTTCAAGATCCGTTGAATAGCTTAGAGTTTTGTATATCAAGCCATCAATAAATTAGCTGCCCCAACTTGCGTTCATGACATTTACTCAATTCACTCGGATTTAATTAAAAACGTTTATTACAACAGCGGTGTCTAGACTTTCACTTGCGTAAATCCTTCGTGACTACTAAGATATTTAACACCGATTTTACATATTTAACCCACCTCTTGTAGGTGCGTTAAAACAACTACGCATGCGCATTGCAGTGTGTTAATGTCAAATTTGAATTGTGGTTATTTGTGTTGACAATTTTTTGAGCGAATTAAGAAATCGTTGCTAAAATATTAAATAAAAGAAATAATAGAAATCTAAAATACTTAGTATAAATTTGTTATATTTAAATTTTATAAATAAATTTTGAAATTTCTAGCTTCAGAAAAATTGCTCTGAAAAAGAACAAATCTTTGTCCCGCGAAGCAATAAAACTGTTGCTATCTTCTGATGGTTTCCCATGCTCTGCTAATGATACAACGAGTGAATCCAGTGACGGAGATTGTTTAATATATATGTAGGTATTAAATAATATATAAATGTAATTATAATAAACTAAATTAAGCTATTTTATAAAAAGATGTTTTATTACATTTTAAAAAGAACCTCTTACGGATTTTTAATTAATTTCGACAAATTTTGGAATTCTGATTCCAGATTCATTATGAGCGACCACAAAAACCCCTGTATGGTGATTTTCAATCAAATGGGAATAAAAAGTGTTTCTATGTTCATACTCTGCTACATTATTGATCAGCTTACTATTTACTTTAGTTTGTAATTTCTGTTTTCAGTTTATATTAACTTAATTCTCTCCTTACAAAATTGTTGTGTTGGTGGCTGAATACATATTTTATCTATCGACATTTGTACTACTATTATATGTACATTTTTCTCTGTGTATTAGACGCCCGCAAAGAAACAATTTTTGAACACGAATAATACTTTAAAGAGAAAAGATGCTAACGCTCCATCTCAATTATAGTTCAAATATACTTATTATAATCCAGACTTGAGTCGTATTCAAGCATTTCGAAAACTGTAACCTTAATTGAGAAATAAAATCTTCGTGCAAATATCGAACAAATAAAACAATAGAGAAGATTTTTTTTAAGTATCAGATATTATTTTTAATATTTTAATAAATGGAATAATACAAAATAAAGTAAAAAAAAGATTTACTGTTTTTGAAAACAAATTTCAATCTAAAAGAAGAATGTTACTGTAACAGTACAAAATAACGACCAAAGATTGTGCATGCAACTTTTTCATGCACGCACAATTTTGCCTTCAAACAATTACTGTGCAATGCACTTCAGGTAATTTGCCATTTTTTAAACGCCAGTTTCATTTGCACCGCTAAAAATATTTATATGTATTTCCGACTGTGTCATTATAAAATTACGAATTCGTTTTTATCTTCCTCACCATCGCCGTTAATGATGATTTTTAACACACCGCGAAGTTGTAAAAACTACAATAAGGAAAGAGAAATTCAACTTACAGAATCATGTGGATGTCGCGAATAATCTGATGAAGTCTCTCCCGAATTTTTTTCCTCTCCTCCACCCCAATCCACTTCTTTTTTAAGACTCTGCAAAATAAAATCGATCATAAAAAATTACACATCTAAGTTTTAACTTTGCTCTATTATGGTTTGTCATTTAAACCCTTATAAAACCATATTTACTTAAGAGACCCTTAAGGCCTATTTAGCTTTATGTCTTTCTGACATTATTAAAGTCTTCTTTAACATTCTTAAACTTTTCTTGAAATTCTAAGTATTTTTGAGAATGTAAATTTTATTTTAACGCTTTAAAAAGTACTTTTGACGTTGTCTTTTTAACATTCTTAAAATGGTTATAGATTGGGTTTGGCATTTTAAGTAATATTGTCATTTTTAAAATGCCGTAACATTTTTTGGTTTTAACATTCTCAAATTTGTTTTTAACAATTTAAAACGAGTTTTTGACACACTAAATTGTGTTTTTGGCATTATTAAAGTCTTCTTTAACATCCTTAAACTTTTCTTGACATTCTAAGTATTTTTGAGAATGTGAAATTTGTTTTAACGCTTTAAAATGTACTTTTGACGTTGAGTTTTTAACATTCTTAAAATGTTTATAGATTAAAATGTACTTTTGACGTTGTGTTTTTAACATTCTTAAAATGTTTATCGAATGGTTTTGGCATTATGAGTAATTTTTTGTTTTTAACATTCTCAAATTTGTTTTTAACAATTTAAAACGTGTTTTTGACACACTAAATTGTGTTTTTGGCATTATTAAAGTCTTCTTTAACATTCTTGAAATTCCAAGTAATTTTGAAAATGTAAAATTTGTTTTAACACTTTTGACTTTGTGTTTTTAACATTCTTAAAATGTTTATAGATTGGTTTTGACATTTTAAGTAATATTGTCATTTTTAAAATGCCGTAAAATTTTTTGGTTTTAACATTCTCAAATTTGTTTTTAACAGTTTAAAACGTATTTTTGACATACTAAATTGTGTTTTTGGCATTATTAAAGTCTTCTTTAACATTCTTAAACTTTTCTTGAAATTCTAAGTATTTTTGAGAATGTAAAATTTGTTTTAACGCTTTAAAATGTACTTTTGACGTTGTGTTTTTAACATTCTTAAAATGTTTATAGATTGGTTTTGGCATTTTAAGTAATATTGTCATTTTTAAAATGCCGTAACATTTTTTCGTTTTAACATTCTCAAATTTGTTTTTAACAATTTAAAACGTGTTTTTGACATACTAAATTGTGTTTATGGCATTATTAAAGTCTTCTTTAACATTCTCAAAGTTTTCTTGCCATTCTAAGTATTTTTGAGAATGTAAAATTTGTTTTAACGCTTTAAAATGTACTTTTGACGTTGTGTTTTCAACATTCTTAAAATGTTTATAGATTGGGTTTGGCATTTTAAGTAATATTGTCATTTTTAAAATGCCGTAAATTTTTTGGTTTTAACATTCTCAAATTTGTTTTTAACAATTTAAAACGTGTTTTTGACATACTAAATTGTGATTTGGCATTATTAAAGTCTTCTTTAACATTCTTAAACTTTTCTTGACATTCTAAGTATTTTTGAGAATGTAAAATTTGTTTGAACGCTTTAAAAAGTACTTTTGACGTTGTGTTTTTAACATTCTTAAAATGTTTATAGATTGGGTTTGTCATTTTAAGTAATATTGTCATTTTTAAAATGCTGCAACATTTTTTGGTTTTAACATTCTCAAATTTGTTTTTAACAATTTAAAACGTGTTTTTGACATACGTAATTGTGTTTTTGGCATTATTAAAGTCTTCTTTAACAATCTAAATATTTTTGAGAATGTAAAATTTGTTTTAACGCTTTAAAATGTACTTTTGACGTTGTGTTTTTAACATTCTTAAAATGTTTATAGATTGGGTTTGACATTTTAAGTAATATTGTCGTTTTTAAAATGCCGTAACATTTTTTGGTTTTAACATTCTCAAATTTGTTGTTAACAATTTAAAACGTGTTTTTCACATACTAAATTGTGTTTTTGGCATTATTAAAGTCTTCTTTAACATTCTTAAACTTTCCTTGACATTCTAAGTATTTTTGAGAATGTAAAATTTGTTTTAACGCTTTAAAAAGTACTTTTGACGTTGTATTTTAAACGTTCTTAAAATGTTTATAGATTGGGTTTGGCATTTTAAGTAATATTGTCATTTTTAAAATGCCGTAAATTTTTTGGTTTTAACATTCTCAAATTTGTTTTTAACAATTTAAAACGTGTTTTTGACATACTAAATTGTGATTTGGCATTATTAAAGTCTTCTTTAACATTCTTAAACTTTTCTTGACATTCTAAGTATTTTTGAGAATGTAAAATTTATTTTAACGCTTTAAAATGTACTTTTAACGTTGTGTTTTTAACATTCTTAAAATGTTTATAGATTGGTTTTGGCATTTTAAGTAATATTGTCATTTTTAAAATGCCGTAACATTTTTTGGTTTTAACATTCTTAAATTTGTTTTAACAATTTGAAATGCCATAATTAAAGTCTTCTTTAACATTCTTGGCATTCTAAGCAATTTTGAGAATTTTAAATTTGTTTTAACACTTTAAAATGTACTTGACGATGTGTTTTTAACATTCTTAAAATGTTTATAGATTGGTTTTCGCATTTTAAGTAATATTGTCATTTTTTAAAAAGTTAAAAAAGTAATGAATAAAAGTTAAAAAAACCAAAAAGCCAAAGAAATGTAATGTTGACTGTGTCCAACCATAAAGCTCACTTAACTACCATTTAGCTGCAGAGGTGTTAGAGGAGGATTTATAAAAGCTGTGAGAACCTAATTAAAGCAATTATTAAACCTTCAGGTTTTATTATCGATTGAAGGCAATAATAAAGGGAATTGCAAAAGAAAAATCTCTCGTGCGCATGTTTGATTTAAATTGGACTTTTTTCTTACCAGAGGCACTTGCTGAACGGGAGGCATATTCGAAGGTCCGGGCAGAGGCTCGCAATTCAACGGTGACGATGGCCTGTGGCAGATGACAGCCGTGGGATTCGACACTTCCGTTCTTAGAGGCGGCTGCGGAAGGCACACGCTTCCGCTTCCGGTTCCGGTTACGCTAACAGTGGTGCTGTTGTTGTGGATCACCAAGTCGCTGGGTCCACATTCGGCACTTGACGTGTCTTCCGCCGATGGAGGTCTCTGTTAAGTAGTGGAGGTTCAAGGATTTATATGGTTTTGCTCTGATTGGCTTACCTTTCCACTTAGACTGTCCCTGTCCCTGTCTCGCTCCCTTTCCCTCTCGGAAGGACTTTTGCAGACCCTCAGGTTTTGCACTGAGGACGCGGGCGAATTTTGACCACCGTCCATGTCCTCCAAAGGGGTGGCAGGCCTGGGCAGTTGGTTGTGCACCGGTTGGAGCCCAGAGCTGGCAGGTCTTCGGCCAACCAGCTCCTTGGGTTCTGTTTGTTCCGGTTCCTGTTTGTAGTCTCGCGTCATTTCGGCCAGACCTTGCAAAAAATTTGAGTGATAATACTATTTGAGTAACAAGCTTTTTGTTATTTCCCTTAAAAAGAGGGGGGAAGGGCCAGCGCTCTCCTTGGCGAACATAACTTTATAATAATAATAATAATAATAATATCTTTATTGACAAACAGAAAAGGAATTCCAATTACAGGACAATTATAATATTACAGAATATATAAACAAATACTAAAGTAACTATAAATTCAAAATAATTTATGGCCATCGTTGTAATATTTTCAATAGTGGCAACTGCAATATCACATTCATTGCATAGTTACCACTCATGACAAATACTGTAGATTTCAAAAGAACATTGGTTCTGGCATATGTATTATAGAAAGTTAAAATAGATCTAGAATTAATTCGTGGTACGTGAATGTTAAAGAGTGATATCAAAAAGGTACTGTCTATTTCATTTCTGAACAGCCCGTACAGAAATTTAATACTTAATAAAAATCTTCTACATTGCAAGGACCTAACATTAAATCTATTCAACAATAAAATATGTTCAGTACCTCTAGCAGGATAAATATTGTCAAGCCTAAAAGCTAAAATTTTCAAAAATCGCCTTTGTACTCTTTCTAATTGATCAGTTTAGGCGTTATAACATGGATACCAAACAAGAGAGCAGTACTCTAGCTTGGTACGAACCAATGAATAATACAAAACTTTCAATGCACCCTCACAATTCATTGATTGAGTATTTCTATTTATAAAACCAACCATTTTGAGAGCAGATTTTACAATACTAGTGATGTGGTCTGAAAATGATAATTTGGTATCAAAATATACTCCCAAGTCTCTGGTACCTGTACACCTTGATATGAAATCGTCATTAATTGTGTAATCAAAAATAATTGGATATTTTTTTAGAGTAAAGGTACACACCTTACATTTACCGATATTCAAAAAAAATCTATTGAGGATACACCATTCATTTATTAAGTTTAGCTGATTTTGTAGGTATACACAGTCTGATGCATCTGAAACATCAACGAACAATTTCAAGTCATCAGCAAAAATCAAATGTTGACACTTTACAAAATTGGAAATATCATTGATAAAAAGGACAAATAATAGTGGACCCAGGTTAGAACCCTGAGGAACTCCAGAGCCAGACTAAAACTATCAGAACCAAAACCATTGTAGGTCACAAATAATTGACGATTAACAAGATAGGATTGAAATAAATTTAAAAGTTGATTGCTGAATCCAAATGATCTCAGCTTCATTAACAAGACAGTATGATCAACCCTAGCGAAGGCCTTCGAAAAGTCAGTATACAATACATCTACCTGTTTACCGATATCCATTTTTTGAGCCACAAATTGTGTTGTAATCTTATTGATTTCACTTGTGCGAGTGAAGTGTGGTAAAATCTAGCATGATAAAAATATCAAAAAGATTACTAAGAAAATTAAAATTTCGAATTTGAAATATTTAAGGTCTATTCTATAAACGAAGCAGACTTGTTGTTTAAAAAGTGAGTTCATATTTTGTTTATTTTGTGCATCATATAGTATGAGTTAATTTTTTAGTTATTATAAATAATTTGTTTTAATGCCTTGCAATTATTTAAAAAAAAACTACCCAACACCCAACAGTAGGTTGAAAATGTGACCATTGTTACAATGAAAATGGTTTATTGAATTAACAATTAATTTGTTGTTAAAGTTACATAAATTTTATTAATATTATAAAAAAAAGTTTTATTTTAAACGAAAAGGGATTTGTAAAATTTTCAAAATTTCCATGAACAATACCATTAGGGTTTCATTAATACTACAAAACGTTTTTGTAAACGGTATAGAACTGTTTTTTAGACAAATAATAACTATATTTATCAATGCGTTTGTTATTTTTATAAACATAACGTAAATTTACTTTATAAATAATTAATGCAAATGCTATTACTGAAAGCAGCGTTTGTAGATAAATAATTTTTATAAAAATGATCTTTTTGCCATAACAAAAGCAATTGTTGGACAAATAGGGATCTTTACTTTATCAAGACAAACTACTTTTATTGTTATATTTATTAAAAAAGCGGTGACCTAAAGTATGGAATTTCCAACCGAGATAGCACCATAAATCCTGAAAAGACACCCAACACATCATTTATGAACTGGGCGCGTTCATTTGCAAGATTCATATGTGATGCTCTAATAATTCCAAACGTTAAACTGCCATAATTTACCGTCGATTAAAACTAAAGTTTACGGATAATAAAAAATAAAAACGTTCCTTGGCGGATTTTCCTTATACCATGAATTTATGCTGCGTCTTGAGCAAGATATCAATTTTGTCGTATTTTATCATCTATTTATTAGATTCTTTAGTCTATGGACGGTAGGTGTGTAATTGTCGGGCACGTTTAACAATCTCTTAATATTAAATATTAACTGCCAAGACTTATTTATTATACGTTTCGGACTAAGAACAGTACTGCATGGTTTAAACTCGCGAAAAATCTAATGGTTTATATGCTTGGATTGCCAGGGTATTAATGCGTTCTACTTTATGGAAAATTGTCTGTAAATGTTTTTAGGTAATAAAAACATTTTTTTCTACTCCCACCTTTAAAACGCCCTTAATCGTACATGTTTCCATGACACTAAGTGACCTTTTAAATACACATTGACAAGTTGTGGCTTTATGGCGTTTTAGTCATGGGCTGAAGTTAGCAACCGGTTTTTAGTCACGGGCTGAAGTTAGTTTTAAGTTAGTTGACAGTTGTCAAATGTCATACGATCGTTAAAATAAAGTGCCTTTCTTGTAAAATGTGAAAATTATTTTATTATCTCAATACAAAAATACAAAAATATTAAATAGTTTCTCAACGCCAATATTTGAAAAGTTTATATGAACATTGTACTGACCTTTTAATTTCGCCGGCAGTAAACTTTAACTTAAATTCGGGCACGGACTCCACTGTAAAGTCCTCATAAAACATTTCCTTTAGTTTCACTGTGAAAAACTGTCAATTTTCAGGAAATACATTTCGATTTATAACCTTTATAATTGTGTTTATAAAATGTAAAAATGTGACATTTGACGGTGACACACAGTTTCCTCTATTGTTTTATAGATGGCGCTCTATACAAATTTTTGATTTCAATCATTTTAAGATAATAATAAGTATTTGTCGTAGAAAAAGTATAGTACACCTCGTTTATAAACTTTTATATAGGAGAAAGCATTCAAAATAAAATTTAAACATCGAAGAAAATTTTTAGAGGCTCCAATCAACAGGAAGCTTCAAAGGATGACTCTTGGCAGCAATTATCCTCATCAAGTTCAACTATCAAGGATGTTACATTTAACGAATTTTCCAAAAGTACAAATAGAATTTCATTCCAAAATATATCCAATTGTACAATTAATATTTATGAACATAAAAATGGTGAATAATTTTTTTCGTTAAATGTCAAATTTGTATTAAAGCGTTGCTAATTAGTAAAATAAAACATTTCTTTATTGAATTCTAGCTAATCAAATGGTTGTTTTTCATTAAGGATACAAAAAATATACATTTTTTAACCCCAGCTGGCCTTTTTGAATTGTTTCCATAGCAACAATTTTATAAGTTTGTCTATATAGTTTGTGGGCTGTGGAGTAACGTAGGCTACTTTTTATCCAAAAAAATGTAAGGTTTGTGAGAGATAATTGAAAAATCAAAAGTATCAGTTTTAATAAGTATTAATCCCGGAGCATCCGCCATTTTTTTAAGTATTTAACAGCTGAACGGATTTTGATGATTTTTGGTATAGGGATTTCCTAGGTCCTGAGATGACATTTAAAATACTTTATATAACGAATTAAATGCCCAGTTACTGTTTGATAGTATCCCTATAGGTATTTTTTTTTAACTCTGTTATTAAGTAAAGCGATCTAAATAAAATTTGGTATGTAAATTGGTTTAATGTTGAAATGACCCCTAGATAATATATAAAAAATAGAATATTAAAAAAATAATAAAAAATAAAGAATATTTCATTCAAATTTTTAAGTATTATATTCTTATCTTGTTTTATAACAAGATAAAATAAAAATTTTAAACTTAAAACTTATATAACAAATAAAATAAAAATATAAAACTTAAAACATATAACAAGATAAAATATAAAACTTAAAAAAAAAATTAATGAAATATTCTTTATTTTTTTTATATTTCTTTAAATATCCTATGATTTTCATTTGTTAACAGTATTATTTTTAATTTTCTCCTTATTTGACGATATGGTTTGTTTATTAAATTATACGTAATTTAATTAATATACATATTTCTGATTCACTTTCATCTAGGAAGTTTTAGATTGTTAGGTTAGGTTGTTTTATTGTTTTTATTGGTTATATTGAAAATTTTAAACAATGATTTTAAACAATGTCAGCTTATTTAGAATTAAATTTTAAAGGCAAGAAAATCATAGAAAAACATTGTAAGAAAACCTAACCAAAAAACCAAAACTCTCATCTGTCAAAAATACAAGTCCATTAGCCCATAGCCCATTAAGTTGTATAAACTATCATAATAACTACACTCACAGGCAAAATAATCAATCCGCACAAATTTTCAATGAATTTCAATTTGATTTATAATTTTTTTTATTTGATGTCGGATTTAAACGAATATTAAAGAATATTGTAGATAAATTAATGGAAAATCGCTCACATTTTAAAAAATTACCAAAAAATAGACCTACGTTTATAATATACAGGTTTAAACAAAAATATGTTTTTTACCATAAGTTTAAGACACTCTGTAGAGTGGCAAAACCGTATATTGTTCTAAATTAAGTTTTATTTATCAAGTCACATCTATTCTTAACAGTTTTGTTTTTGGTTCACCTCGATATATTTATTTTTGTGGAAAATAGTACTTAATTTTTAAAATGTGAGCGATTGTCCATTAATTTATCTACAATGTTCTTTAATATTCGTTTAAATCCGACATGAAATAAAAAAGTTATTTGCGATTGAAATTCATCGAAAATTTGTGTGGATCGATTATTTTGCCTGTGAGGGTATAAGGTAGCAAATTAACACTTTAATTCAGAAATGTTTCATATCTTTTTGCGGATTTGCGGCCTGTTTCAATTTCTGTCGGGGTTAAATTGACTTGTCAAAATTAATAAATATTATATCTGTCAGATGTCCAAGGCAATAGTTGATATTGACAGAATATTGCCGTGTATCGCATTTCAATTGGTTAAAAATCTGTATCGTGATAAAAAATTTGTATCACAATGGATCTCATTATGGTACAAATAGTAAAAACGAGTAAATAAACTGACCTTTGACCTTAAGGCTTTCGGCAGTTTTGAGCAGAGCTGACAGTTGACAGTACTCGACGTTGACCTCGCCCTTATACATGAAGTCGATAAGAGTGCGCAGTTCCGCGAACCTTACGTCCTTCAAGATGACTATCGGATGTCTGCTGGGATGGTCGACGAACAACGTCTGGAAATAGGATGAGCAAGCCGACAAGACAACCTGAAAAAGTCGAGTCAAAATGGTTTTGAAACTGCGCACTTTTGGACGTTTTACCTTATGCGCTCGTATCGAATGGCCCTCCGAGCAGGCCAGAGTCACATCCACTAGACTTTCGTCGCGTAGCAACTGACTGAAGACCCCCAATAGGTTGCTTTGATGATTATTCCACCTCAGGCAGTAGTGCTCACTTCCCATCTCTTTCGACTTGCCTGACCACACTAAAAAAAAAAAAAAAAAAAATTGTTAGTCATTGAACATTAAGAAGTCACAAGTTACAGAAATGGCATAATTAAAATAAAAACAGCAAAACATTTACTTGGTATACCTCAAGGATGCCTTTCACGACCCATCCCATCCAACAAAAAAATATGCGACTTCAACAAATAAAAATGCCGTCGTACCAATCACGTTTCGTACTGTTAACTGTTACCGTTTGACTGGGTGAATCGGACCAATCAAATCGCCTAACGGTACTTGCAATGGCAACCGAGATTAGATATTTTTCACGTGATCGAGAAACCATTGAAAATATTTGTTTGTATATACGTATTTGGTGTGTTGAGAGCTCCACGCAGCGCCTACTTAACATTTTTATCTGCCTTTACGATATCAGCAGATGATTACAAAAAATGTGGAGTGTTGTAATAAATTAAATTAAAATGTGTATACTTCATTTGATATGATTTTTTTTAGTTTTAGGTTGATTTATTCGATGGGTCGAAATTTTAAGTGGATAGATGAAACTACAAATTTTATTGTTTTTATATAAAAAAACGTATTTTTAGCAAATTTTTGTAGTAATTTAACGCACTCATTTAAATAATTTTAAAAAATATTTTTTTTTTATTAATAAATTAGCTTTAATTCGTCTTTTTTACTTGTGTTTCATTTATAGTATATTATGTATGAGAGTCTAGAAAAGTTTATGAACAATATTAACATATCCTTAAATTAAAATGATTTTATTTCTTAGCTTAAAATCAAGTATAGTTGAAACAAGATGATTGACCTAATATTGTTAAAACTAACATTAAACTAAATATTAATCTTTCTTTAAACAAGCAGATTTTATTCTTGCCTGTTAAATTTTAATTCATAATGTTAATTATTAATGTCTTAAGAAATAATCCTATTCTTAATTTAAGATTAACAATCGATTAGACCAAATTTTGAAAAATTCTCTCTTTTCTGTTCTACTTATACAATATTGAAGCAAATGAAGTTGACAATAAAAACAATTTATTTTTTCGTTAATTTAAGAATTTAAAAATTGAATAACCTTCTTTTATATTTATTGCTATATTACGGAAATGTTGAAAAATTGCAATTGTATATTTGTTGTTTTTTTTATAAATTAATGTGTTTTTTTATATTTATTTTAAGTCAAAAATCATAATAACTCTGGAAAAGTTATTGTTGTAGAGAATTATATCGATAGTAAATAAGAAAGTTTAATTTAAATAGCATAATTGGTTAATATTTATCAATTACTTACGTTTTAAGATATAAAAATGGCCGTAAATTCATCAAATATTTGTTAAAAGACTATTTTTTACGATTCAGCTCTTTTTTTTTCACTATTTTTTGCGAATTGTTAAAAAAATTGCAAAAAAAAATGTTCATTCAAAAAATTAAACTTTCATGACTCCTACTGGCGAACCACTACGAGTTACACAAAAAAACACAAAGACATGTCTTTGAAGAGCGTGAAATTCCCTATAGGGTCCATAAAACCGATTCACAATATTGTAAAAAGCAGGCGAGCATTAGAAATTTGAAAAAAAAACATTTTTTTACATGCATTTTAAATGGGAAAACTTATAATTTAAACTGCAAGTACTTAAAATTGATATTAAGAGCTCTACCTTGGTGAATTTTTTTCTATAGGTAGATTAATATTTTGCTTGAGCACCGAAAAAAAAAACTTTGCGGAAATGAATCACCCTAGTGCACATTGTATCACAATTAAAGTTAAATTACACCAATAGTGGCAAAATAGACTAAAAAAACTGGTAATAACCGAAATGCGTTTTAAAATATTTGGTTGGTACCCATCTACCTACGCAGTGTATATCCGGAGATACCGCGTTGTGGAAGTGTGGCATTTTTGTTCAGTTAGATTTTAATTACGGTGAATCCATATTTTTTGGTAAGTATTTTAGTTCCTTTTTCTTTAAGCCTTAATACTCAATAAATACCAATATGTTAAAAGGATGTCCATACCCGACCTATAATATATATCAATAATTTACGGCAGTAGGTCGGGTACTTGTAACATTAATAATATAAATACATACACACTTCATTTACTTTTTATTTTCAAGCGTAATGGTTGTTATATTAACCTATACCTACATTTTTATTAATATTATGGAAAATTTGTACCCGTGTGGTAAATCCCCGACATAGAGCCGCCTGACGCCTCTCTACCAATGGGATCACACATTTTTTATAACAGAAAAATGGATTACTGATGAATTCTCAAGATAATTTATTGCTTACAAGTTGACAGCCAGTAAAACATTTGCTTAAGCCAGCCATACGACTCAAATATATATATTGATTGATATATAGGTAGATACACAGACAGATAGGTATTTGAAACATTTTAATTTTTTTTAGACAAATAATTTAGATAATATCTAATGTGTGATATGCAATTTGACTTAAAAATGTTGGGTGATTTTTATTTTAAAATCCTAAAAGCGAAGTGGAAATTTCACAGTTGTAGTTAATTCCCAACTTCATTTAATCTCACGATTGCAATCCCGTTTACAAAATGAAGCGCACATTTTGCAGGCTAGCGAGGTAAAAGGCCGAGTGGAATAGAGAAATAGTGGAACGAGGCAAAGAAAGAAAGAAAGAAAAAAAGCGAAAAGCAGCAAAACGAAAAAATAATAATAATCCAAATAAATAATCTCGTACACGCGGCTGCTAATCCCCATGGTCGTGATGCACAAGTTCTGCAGTGTTATAAATTTAACACATGCAACCCGAGCAGTGCTGATTACGTCTGCACGCTGCTCGGTTACCGTTCTTGTGCTCTACGTTAACGAATTCGTTCGCTGTTTCTTATCTGCCACTTTTCACAAAGCTTTTCGGAAAGTCAGGCACGAGCGATATTTTAGGGACGAAATTTTAACTGAAAAAATACCAACCAAGTAAACTTCAGTAATTAATAAATAAACAACAAAAACTAGATCCTCAACATGTATTATAATATTTCTATATTGAAATAATGCGACTTTTCAATATTTCAATATTTTTCTCCTTTTAAAGCTACTTTATAAGCTTCAAAGATGAAAATAACAAAACCAAACTACCAGGCATTTGAACATCAAGGTGGGGACTAATTATCCTGTAAATTTCATAATTCTATTTGGAAGTCAACATCCTCATATAATGGCATAAATAATGCGATTTTGTAGAATTTCAAAATTTTAACCAATTTTTTTTGGAAACCGTATGCCAAACGGGTCAATTGTAAGTTTTATTTTGTCTTTGGTATGTAAACTTAATATACAAAAAAAATTAGCTGTTCATATTAAACAGCCGACATGGGACTCATTTAAAAAAAAAAAAAATAGTAAAATACACGTTTTTTCAGCGTGAATTCATATTTTTTTTATAAAAACTACTATTTTTAGATATAAAATGACATTTAAAATATCTTTAATAAAAAAAATACGGCTTAAATTATTAAAGCATAAAAATGACGTTTTTAAAAAGTTTTAATTCGAAAAGGCCGAATTTGACACATGCGAAAAATTAAATAAGGGTAAATTTTGTCCTTTGGGACCCTAATGAATATTCCTATAAAATTTTAGGAAAATCCAAGATGGTCGAGCAACGAGTTTCGGCGTTTTCCTATATTATACTATATTCAAGTTTTGTCCAAAAAAATTGATTTTTTTTTCGATTGCACTTAAACTTATTGACTAATTGGGCATTTATATATAACATGTCCAAAAATTTAACTCCATAGAGTTACATTTTTGGACATGTCAGCTAGGTTTATTTTGATATCTTTTGGAATACAATTGGCCATTTCAAACTCGAGATATGACCCAAATAGTAAAAAACAAAGAAAAATTTCTTATTTGGAAAACCTTGCCATGAAAAAAATTTTTATTGTAATTTTCGAGTTTGAGAGGCCAGAATACATGAGAAAAAAATATCGAACGTACATTTTGGCTGTGAACCGGTGTTTAATCATACCACGAGTAATATTTAGTAAATTTTAGAATTTAATGAATTGTCAGTTTGACATTTGAAATTAAAATGTGCTTTAAAATATAAAAGGACTTTAATAAACCTAATTTATTGCCTTAATGTCATTATTGTTTACATCAACCCATCGATCTTTTAGTTCATTATTTTAATCATATAACAAACACACAGGATTTAAATGTCAACAAATGTCAAATCAAGAAAAGTGTCAAAATCATTAGTACCGTGTAAACAAGGTAATATAACAAAATGCATAACTATAAAATAATGGCTTTTATTGGTTATAATATTAATGAATTGTATTGTCATCATGATATTATATGATTATAATCAGTGTCGGAACATCAATTTTTTCTCGATATCAGTAAAAATATGGAAATTTTCAGAAAAATTTACTTCCGCATTTGTTTGCATAATCTTTTAAATAAAATGAAAAAAATGCAAAACTTATTTTTTTTGCCGGCTCAATTTTTCCGTAAATTTTAAACCCCTAACCACAACATAGGTACACCACTAATATTTAAAATGTCCAAAAATAATGAAAACATCGAGTTTTACTGCTTATACATAACTTTGTCATTTATACATAGATTTTTTTCGTAAATACCTTATTTTCTTCGTAAAAGTGCAAATTCTATGTAGATAATTCAAATATGTTCGTATGATCTTGATTTTTATTAATTTTTGGACAAAAGGTAAAAGCATTCTTATTTTTGTCAATAAACATGATTCTTTTTCAACTGATTGGGCATTAGGAGAGTGATATTGGTCAGCGATTCGATTATTTTTAATTTGACACCTCTTGCAACTAGATTGGCCGTTTCTAACTCGACGTATGTCCCAAATTGTAAAGCTATATTCGAAAAAAAAATTAAATGTTATATCTCCAAAACTTTGCCAACCAAAGTTATCAATCTGTCATTTTTGTCGTTTTTAAAATAGGATATTAAAAAAAACACAATTAAATTGTTATTTATTATAATTTTTT